AAACTGGCGGTTTACACTGTAAGCATCACACAAGGATAATGGTTCTAGTGACTGAGATTTAGGACATAGAGCATCTCTTCTGCTGGTGGTTTGATAGTAATCCCAGGTTTGGATGTTTAGGTTCCCAAATTTGGGAACATGGTTTCATTGCGTATCCTCTCTGAAATTCATAAACTAGCAGTTTAGAGTGTAAGCATCACACAAGGGCAAAGGTTCTGGTTACTGAGGTTAGGACATATAGCAACTCTTCTTCTGGCGGTTTGATGGTAATCCCAGGTTTGGTTGGTTATATTGTTCTTTCAGTTTGGAATATTACTGATTAAAAACTTGATTACTAATTTTCCCCAATTTTAATTTCAGCAAACTCCATATAGTTTGATTAAAAACTTGATTACTAATAGAATTTATTATTTCATACATTCTCCTCAAGCATTGATGGAGCACATTTATTTGTTTAAAAGTCTTGAAGACAATTTTTTCCAACAGAACTTGACAAAGGCTTGTCCACACACCAAACTATATGGGGTTGGCTTCTTAGAAACATAGGTTTGATCTGATAAATGATTTGATTGTTTATTATCTTATGGTTGCAATTCTTTGATAATCTCTTAACCCTACACTGCACTTTTTTAACAGTTTGTTGATGAAGATACACTGATTTGGGAAAACCATAATTTAAAAAAAAAAAAAAAAAGAGGTAAGGTAATTTGGGAAAACCATAATTGAGGTAAAATTGAATGTGAGCATCAGTGGGTGAAAATTCTATTTTGCAATAGCCTAGACACTCTTGTTTAGGGTGACTTCTAGGTAAATTTTACCAATCAAAATGGAAAAGGAAATTTGGGTAAATCTTGGTTGGGAGATGAACTGCTTGTTAAACCATGTTAGAGAAGATTAGGTTCTAGCATCCCATCTGAATTGTTGCTCACTCACTTGGATTCCCAGTTAAGTTAATGGCTTGGCTGATTCACCTCCAAGATAGGTGTGGGCCGAACTAGCTTACTTTGGGGAGCAACAGGTCCAATGGATCAGCAAGAACACTGATGTCTTCTTTTTCAAAACAAAAAAACAAAGGAAAGAAAGAATGGGAACTTTGATGTTTTTCAGGCAAAAAGAACTTCATATTAAGGAACCTTGATGTTTTTAGGCAAAAAAAAAAAAGGAAAGAAAGAAAGAAAGAGAACTGTAGTTCCCACCATTCCTTGCATACTTTATATGTTACTATGAGTTAGCATATTTTAAGTTCTATTTATAGCATATATTACAAGCAGCTGGACCTCCTTGTATGGAAGACAGCAAAACTTCTGTTCCCCTAGATTGGTTCAAGTTTGGGTTCAATCCCATCCCTAAATCAACACTTTGTTCCTTACCAATTACCTGTTGATTATCCTTCAATGGCATATTCCAGCTACGCCTCTAAAGATCAGTAGCTACCTCCTTACAAACAACCTGCCTGGGAAGTTGATTTGGTAAGGACCCTTCTCTGTCTGGAATGCAGTTTTCAGCCCCAGCGACCTTACTGCGCAAATCGTCTAATTCATCCAACATTCTTTCAGACAGATTCAGTGGCACTTGATGATTATTCTTGCTTCTCATGGTTTTGTCTTATGCGTTCTTGGGTGAGGTCCCTGCTTTGACTCATGACTTCCATCAAATGATTCTTACCCAATTTGTGAAACCCTTTGGTGAGATACCGCTCACCTCGGAAGCCCCTTTGAGGGTGGCTTAACCTCCTGAAACAGAAATGGAGAGGAAGAAGAGAAGGGAAGGAAAGAAAAGAGGGACTCAGTGAGAGAAAAACAGGGGATATTCATTCACACCTTTCATTATAAGAGTATGGCCTTATATAGCTGGCCTACAAGTGTAATCAWAGAGGGAATATCCTCTGATTTGCAGGATAACTAACTCTGGAAAATATCATGGAGGGAATATCTTCTAGCGGAAGAATAACCAACTCTGTGTGTAACTAATTCTGGGGCTCTGTCACCTGTCCTTTCTGCCTCCTTGAGAACTGCTGATGGGTAGTGGCCTGCTCCACTCCCTTTGTTGGGTTCGGGGAAGGTATTTGGGTCCCAACACCCTTGGCCTCATTTCCTTGAGTATGGGATTATTACCAAAGCACCTGTCCCCATACACCTCAACATAATGAAGTAGTTAAGAGAAAGAACAGACATATCCTAGAAGTTGGAAGGAGTATTATGCTGAATTCTAATATTCCCATATGCTTCTGGGGGGATGCCATCCACACAGCCGTTTTATTTGGGTGAAGGTGTAGGTTAGTGTTTTGATTTTTTTCCCTCCATGGAGCTACACAATGGGGGTATATCGAGGGTAGACTTTACAACAAGCAGGAGACCTTACCAACTGGCCAATTGGCACCTTGTAGAGTTTTGTCAAGTTACCTCTACATATATAAAGGGTATACTTGCAATTCCAATCATAATCAGATAGATTTTTAAATTGACAAAACAAGCAGATGGCATTTTCAGTCTCAAAGGCCAAGGCAGTTTTACAAGCAGGGCTGAAACTAATGTTTTAAAACATGGGGGTATGACGCAAGGCGTTCAGAAAGTAAGAGGCATAAGCCTCCCAAACACAAGGAGGTGTAAGCCTCCTTAAGAGGAAGGGGGTGAGAAGGAAGGAGGATCTCATTTTTCTTTTCTTTCTTTTTCTCTTTTTTTCTTCTCTTTCTTTTCTTTTCCTTTCCTTTCCTTTTTTATTTTTTCTTTCTTTTCCTGTCTTTTTATATGAGGTGTGTGTGAGGCACATCACAAAAAAAGCACATGAGGCGTATGCCTCAAAGGTTTCAATGCCTCTAGCATATGCCTTAGGACATTTTGGGGGTGCCTTAACTGAAGGTGCACCTCTAGGCATACACTTCTCACGCCTTTTAAAACACTGGCTGAAACACAAAACCTAGGCCAAACCTGGAATTTCCATGCTGGGTTGAAAATGATCACCCTTACTAGAAAAAGATTTCCTGCGACCATTTCGCAAAACAATCCAAAGACCTCCCAATGAAATGTGAATAGTGTTTTAGACAAAACACCAATTGGTATAATGTTTAATTTTTTTCTTCCAAACACCGGCACGTTCAATTTCCCCTTACTTGGAATCCATAAACCAAATTCCAACTTAAACTAATAGCTATTAAGTTTTTTTTTTTTTTTTTGAAGATAAGTTTTTAGAATGTATTATAAAAAAGCACAAGTAAAAGAACATAGATTGGGTCTAGTTGGTATTGGGTACCTATAAGCAAGATGCCAACCAGCTGGTTGGTAAGGTCTCCTGCTAGTCGTAGTGGAGACTTGGAATCGAATCCTACCTGCACCTAGGTTGGGGGGATATGGATTGGGGGATGAGCTACCCCCTGTTGTGTAGCTCTTCAAAGATATCAAAAAAAGAAAAAAAAAAAGAAAAAGAAATTGAACCCTATAAGGTTGGAGCAGGTTCGGAACTACATTTTATGAAGTCAGGTGGCGCTCGGGTGGAAGTAAGGGTTGGAATAGGGTGAAGACAAAAATGTACCAAACCAGATACATTGGCATCCCTGTGTATCATTGTGGAGACTTAAAAGCAATTATATGGGTATGGGGCCATAATTTTCCATCTATCAATTATTTGATCATGAGGAGGTACTTGTAAAATGGCCAGTCCTGAATCTAATTCTTTAAAAGTTAAATAGGTGGCAAGATGTGAGGTTCCCAAAGAGCTAGATCCATCATTTCACACATTTCTTTGTTGCAAATAAGACCTGTTGACAGGCCTGGCTTTACCCCTTATTAATAGAAAATATCCAAGCCTGATCCATTGATCGGCCTGACTATGGAGCTTATTCTTGAGCCGAAGCAAGGTTCTAATATAAAGCCCAAAGCCCAATGTACGTTATGCAATATCTTAGTTTTATCTTCTAATTTCATATTTTCTAACTTGTTCCTATCCAATCACACATTTTGCACATCAAAAATATTGCTACCCAATATATAATCATACACTAAGTTCAAACAAAAAAAAATCACACATAAATAAAACACAAAAGATGGGAAATGGGAAGAGAAAAAATTGGAAAATGTTAGGGCTGGACCAAGGTTTTAAAAGGCTAAAGACAAAGGCAAGGTAGTTGGGTGCCAAAGAGGCGAGGCATGAGCCTGAAGGCAGTTTGAGACGTAAGCCTAAAACGAAAAAAATAAAAAATTATGGGCATAGTTCATAATTAATAAAAAACACAAAAAGAAAGAAATAATTGAAATTTTATATAATTACGTGTGACTTGTTTAATGTATAATGGTCCAATAACTGTTAATTATGTGTTCGAATTTTTTCAATATTACTCTTATGAAATCTAAGCACTAAAAAAACAATGTTATAATCAAAATAACTAGTAACTACCAACTACCTAGAATTTGATACCACAATACAAATTCTAAACTATAGAAGAAAAGGTGAAAAAAGGAAGATAGGATCAAGAACACACCCGACACTATCCAATAGCCAATTTACAAAATATGAATCCTTGAAGTTCAAAATTGCAAATTCCTATAATAAGTAGACTTCCTACCAATAGAACTAGGCAAAACATTTAAATTTTAAATTAGTAGACAATTTGTTCCTATTAGTATAAGCAAGTTCTCCAATTCCCAAATGAATAAAAAAAATTACCAATATTTCAATTAAAGTTCTAGTTTCAAGGATTCAAACCTAATTAAAGATCAAAACCTGGTTTGGATTTTGAAATCAAAATTTAAATTACCGTTTTCCAAATTCTAAATTCCTATTGTTCGTTCAAATTACATCCATTTCTTTTGGAGCAAGTCCCTAATCACTAAAAGCATGATTTCGAACTCCATTGTTTTCTTCTTCATGTGACAATAAAAAGAAGGCATTCAGAATAACCATAGCCACAGTTTTAATTCTTAAACGTAACACTAACTAACCAATTAACCGTAGCAGATTAACCATAGAAAATTATGATTTAAGAAATAAGAATAAGAAGAACTTACCTTGGTCGTTGATCACTTGATTAGTCGACTGTAGTCTGTTACAAACTTCAAATTCAAACCAAATGAAAAGAAAATTAGAAAAACAAAAAGTTATATTGAATATTGAAGACGGGACGATGGAAAACTCAAAACAAAACTCTGTTTTCAGTTTTTATTTCAAAATGTAAACTCAAATCTTGGAGTAACCTATGCGGTACACAAGCAAGAACCGCAGGAAAATTACAAAAATAAAAAATTAGAAGAAGAAGAAGAAGAAGAAAGAAAGAAAGAAAGAAAAGAAGAAAGGAAAACTCAACTTGATCTCCGTTTCAATGGAGGTTGAACCGTTGAGGAGAGCACTGGAGTGGTTCTTTTGCAGTTTTCACTTGTCAGTTCGAACCAGGAAGAAGAACAGAGGGAACCCCAATATTCAATTCCCACCCTAAGTTCCTAATGCTTTTTTATCATTTTACATCTTTACCCTGTTAGAAATTGGAATTTACACCCGAATTATTCAAGGCTACCGCCCCAATCATTTTACGCCTCGAGGCGAGAGGTGTACGCCTCCAGAAGTTGAGCCACCGAGGCAGGCAATTTTTGGCCACCTGTGTATTCTACTTGTGCTGGGCTTTTAAAAAGCCAGAGCCTAGCCCGAAAAATAATTGGGCTTAATACTTATAGCCCGAGCTCAAGCCCGCGAGCCAAAAAAACAGGCTTCAGCCCAAACTTACATGCAAGCAAGCTACCAAGCTACTTTTTCATGGATCCGAACAATTGCACAAGCATTTGGTTGGAAAAAAGCTTTTTCTCCAAACAAACAACAACAACATCAATTATTCTAATATCTTCAGCAGGTTCTCAATTGAGAGAGCAATAAGATTAGTATCAATGGCAATTCTGGACAATCCCTTGTACATTAAAATTTATACAGATAGTTCACTTAGGCTATGTTTGGTTTGAAGGAAAAGGTAGGGAAAGGAAGCGAAAGTCAGGGAAACTAATACAAGGTTTGTAAAGGTTTTCTTACATTTTCCTTCCTTTCCCTAGATTTTCCTTCAAACCAAACATAGCTTTAATGAAGCTAGGGCTATCAACATCCCGTCCAAGTATACCAAATTGGGATGGTAGACTTGTATATGATTAATAATCAGATTAAAAATAGATTTAATTCCTTCGAATCCAATTAAAATTGAGTTCGATTAAAAATTAGGTAAATTGTTAAAACCTCCCCTGGAGTTTGATAATTGCAATCACTTCCCTTGAACTTTGTGACTAGACTCCCTTTTGTTAAAATCCTCTAAAAAGAGACATGAAAATGTCCAAAATACCCATATAGTTACTTTTCACTAAAATGTTTATTGTTCAAATTTTTCTCTTCATATGAATCATTAGTTCGAACCCTTCCAATAATTTTTTTGAAATTGATTTGTTTTCTAAATTTGCCCTTTTGTTAATTGCTCAAAGCTAAAGCTACAAATTTAAATTCTCTCTTTTTTATTGTTGTTATTTTTCTGTAAAAACCAGCCTCAATAGTAATTGCATAGGTATTTTGGACATTTTCATGCCACTTGTTAGCGAATTCTAACAAAGGGGGTCTAGTTTGTCAGAAAGTTTAAGGGAAGTGACTACAATTATCAAACTTCAAGGTAGGTTCCAGCAATGATCAGAAACTTAAGGAGGTTTTACCCTAAATATAGATATTATATATAATCATATAAAGTTTACAATTAATAAATTATATATATATATATATATATATATATATATATATATATATATATATATCATACATGTATAAGCTAAAGAGAACTAGTTTTCTTAAATCTTTTTTCAATTCTTTTGCCATTTTAAGCACAATAAGGCATATGTGGATGCAGCTAGGTCTAGTTGGAATCCGGTCCAATTATAGCCCTAAGTGATGTAGCTAAGGATGTCAATGGACTGAGTTCTACACGGATTTGCCTCAATCCTAACTTGACCCTCCCATGCTTCCACTTGGACCTAATAACCCAACCCTATATATGGCTTCAAGCTCATACTGACCCAACCCTGACCCACAATATTCCAATTGTATCTTTTATAACACATTTTGAAAACCCAAAAACCTTTAAGTTAAGTTAGAATTTGGTTTATAGGTTCTTCTCCATAGTGAAAATGGAAAACTAAAACAAACTTGAAAAGCAATCTTAGACTTTAAGCTTAGAGGTTAGAAGTTAGACCAAATTATAAGAATAACTTTTATATGTGTAATATCATCTGGTAGGGTGGGTTTAACGAAACCCAAACCCAACTTGGATTGAAGAATCAAAACCCTAACCCAACCCTATACTGTCAGATCAAGTTGGATTTACCATTTAACCCAATCCATTGACATCCCTAAGTGTAGCTTTTTGTTATGTAGTGTTTACATATAATAGCAATCTTATGTATGTTGTAGCAAATAAATGTTTTGCTCTTTACCTATTTGATATTACTAAAAGGGATATTCCTAGTCATGATTTTCTAACTAAAGATCTAGATCATTGAACTCATCAAGATCAATCACCAATCTTGAAAATCCAAGTGATGTACAATGATCTTAAGAAATCTAGGCCATGAAAGTGGTATGACAAATGATCTACCAAAATTAACCCGAGGATTTGGGCCATCAAAATGGTCTCTTAAGATCTAAGTTATCCAAAAAAGCATCCAATGAACACAAAAATCTAGGTTCTCAATATGGTCTCTTAAGAGCAAAGAACTAATTTTGTCCATCCAAGCAATGCATCAAGAATTTAACTTTTCTCATTAACTCAAATAAAGCACCAAATTTTCTAACAAATCTTTGCGTCAAGCAAAAATAAAGTGGTATAACAAATAACACCTAAAATTTCTTATTCTAACCATCCAAATGATGTACCAACATTTATTCTTAGCTAACCCATTCAAATAATTTATCCATTCAATCCAAAGATCTAGCGTCATTAAATGGTCTCTTAAAATCAGCGAACTAATCCTTTATCCCCCAAAAAAATCAGTGAGAGAGAGATCTATATATATAGGGGTGAGCAGAAAAAACTGAATCGACCAAAAAAAACGATCGAAACTGAACTAAAAAATCGTTTAACCGAATCGGTTGGTTCGGTTTCGGTTAACCAATTTAAAAAACCGGTGGTTAACTGAATCAACCGGTATACATGTTTTTGTATATATTTATGTATATTATATATATTTTATATATTATAAATTAATAAATATGTATTATATATAAATATATGTATAATATATTATTTATTATTTAAAATATAATATTTTATATATTTTTTAAAATAAATATTATAAAGTCAAAAAACAAAAAACGACGAATCGAACCGGTTAACTGATTGGTTTCGGTTTGGTTCTGGTTATTGGTTTTCCAAAAACCGGTACTACCAGTTCGATCCAAAAAGGTTGGTTACCCAAACCGTGAGCACCCCTATATATATATATGAGAAGAGAAAGAGAGAGAGAGAGAGAGAGAGAGAGAGAGAGAGAGAGAGAGAGAGAGAGAGAGAATGCTTAGTATATACTAATTTGATAGGAACTGAGTTTTATCTGCATGAGAAATTGTAATAAAATTTAGATTTCTCAACAACCCTTTAAGCTATGTTTGGTTTGAATGAAAAGGTAAGGAAAGGAAGGGAAAGGTATAGAAACTTATACAAAGTTTGTAAAGATTTCCTTGCCTTCTCCTTCCTTTCCCTACTTTTTCCTTCAAACCAAACATAGCTTTAATGGGTTAGGATTGGATAAGGTTATATTTAAGGGATGGTCCTCCTCTTGAGCGTGGAGGCTGCTACACTACTTTCCCACTGAGGGTAATTTTGGGCTCATTTGGTAGCTCTTATCTCTTAATGCTTAAAATGTTACTTTGAGTTCGGTTCTCATTTTACCTTCAGTCTTAATGTAGGTCACGTCATGCACATTAGCAAATTTATTGACAGATTTACATATAGTTCCTTGTTCAAATGTTCTTTGGTTATTAAGAGGTTTGCATACTTTACCTGTTTGGATCAAATTAAATATGAAAAAGAAAAAATATGATCTATTTATCAACGAACTGAATTCAAATTTCTTGATATTATCTAAAAGTATATATGATGGTGCGCAATCTGGCTATTCCTAGCTGGAAGGCGGTCCGAATTCCAATTGGGCAGTGAGCTGGACCGATCTGCAAAACAGTGGATCAGAGAATCCGGGGTAGCTAACCCGGCAAGGTTGCTCCAATGCTTAAGTCAGTACTTATGCTGCGAATGCGAGCTGAATGCTTGAGAGCTTGAGTGCTAGTGAGTAGAATAATCGCGCGTACCTTTGCCTTGAGGTTTCATGTCTTTATATACTGGAGTAGTCGTGGGCCTTATGTAAGATCTCCGAGATCTCCGGGCTGTGCAGATAAGGTTTGTTCCATTTTTGGAGTCGGTTATGTGACATTTCGGCTCATTAACTTTCAGCTGGTACTTTGATTCTTTATTCCCGAACTGTATTGGGTGTTGAGGTGTCTCTTCGCCAAGGTGGTTTTTTAGGATGAGGTGGCTGGACACCCGAGCTCCGAATGTTGCAAAATGGGTTTGTTTGGCTGAGTTGTCACCCCTCGAGCAGATCGCGTCTACGTGTCCCCTTCTTACTAGGTCGTGCCAAATCACCCCTCATCAATTGCCCCCCACTCCTCGTGCCAGGGGTCCTAACCCAGTGCGGGGAGTTCATGAAGAGTCCAAATGGATTTGGCATGAGGTCTAGTCAATTTGGAGGGAAAACCGTTGGTCGGGCATGTTCAACCATCTGGCTCAACCACGAAATGACCCAGGTCGTGTCTCGGGCACGCGCAGACATCACACTGTTTATAGATTCCGCGGACGCCAAAGGGTGCACTCAACCGATTTCATCCTCGGGTAGAATGCAACCAGTTTTCATGGGAGCCGTCGGATTGTACAGGTCTCAGCCATCGATTGCTGGATGTGGTGGACTAAAAATTGGGGGCCGAAGGGCCCATTACCTTCACCATAAATCGTGTAATAAGCTCTCTTGAGGTCGCGTTGGAGTCCTTCAGCTCGCCACTCTTCCCTTTGTGTCCGAGGTCATTTTCGTCCTTTTGGTGAGTTCGTCTTCTTTCATTAGTTGTTCTCCTTTCATTTTCCTGTCCAATATGTCTAGTGCTAGCATATATAGGTTACTTAGTGATTCTAGTGAGCCTGAGGGTGCCGAGGTGCGGTCATCGGCTCCCGCCGGTGTGGCCAGCTCTTCGCTAGAGAGCTCCTCTTTACACCTCTTAGGGGAAACACCTTTACCCGATGTCAGGCCATCTCGGCCTGAGGAACCTGAACCTCAGGTAGAGCGACCGACCTCTAGAGAGGGGGTCCCATCTTCTTCTCGGGGTCGGGATCCAGACGACTTTGGCCCTTCCACGATGACCTCGGACAGTTTGTTGTCCTTGGTAGCCCGTTACCG